AGTGGTTAATGACTTCTGCCTCCACATACTTTATTCAGCAAATACAAAGGCTGGGGACAAAGAAAAGCTGAACAGTGTTGCAGATGAATGACAAGTCAAAACAAAAAACCCATGAAAGTTCTTAACCTCAGTGTATCGGAAACATCGCAGAAATCCCCACCACACGAGGGACACTGGTTTTTCTAGCAGGTAAGCTTTATGCTCGAAAGCAAAAATTCTTTTGCTTTCTGCCATAGTGCAAATTGCCTGTGCAGAAGGAAGGACATCTAACATTCAGTCTTCTCATAAAGCAAGTACTCAAGCGTGGACAATTCCTAGTTTGCACCAAGCAGTCCCTTTGAGAAGGCACTGGTTCTGTACAGCTCTGGGCTAAGGCGACCTGAAGGGCAAACCCAACTCCAGCTACACCATTTCTCAGTTTGTATACAAGGAGTTCCAAAGTTAAAAGCTGCCTTCTCTTGTAACGTGCTGTCCTTCCTATGTAAGTCAGTTGAGACAGAGATTGTTTTTTTAAATTAAGACAACCAAGAGACTTTTCTATTTCACACTTTTATTAATGCAATTTAAATTAGGCTGGAACCTGCAATTTCTGAACAGGCCGCTTTGGGCTATTCATACAGCTTTGTCATAGCAAAAGAGGTACCTTAAATTCATCTGTGAATGAATGACGCCACATGCTGTGATTATTCAAAACATAGTGCTTCAGTGAAAGTTCAAATATACTTTATACACAGTGATTATGAAAATAGATTTTTTCCATACGATATTTTACTTCTGCCAGCTACAAAATATGATAAAGAAAAATAATTCATTTATTTCTCTAGTCCTAGGAATCTTCTTCTACTGCAACGTACACATCACTCTCAATGAAAGCGATGAGGTGGGAGAAAGGACTCCAAAATCACACTGAAATACTTCCCTTGAATCTGTTTCACCGAGGACACGGTGTCATCCTAGAGCCGGATCAAGAGGCCTGGGAATCTGGAGGAAATAGAATCCCAGTTCTGAACCACATGGCTGTGGGATTTTGAGTCCCAGAAGTTCATGTCATATGCCTGAGTCAACCCAACTTGAAAATAAGGGAGAATTCTGCCATTCCCCCCAAACAAATCACGTACTGGTCCTGAATGAATCTTTCTAGAGTGATGGCAAAGCAGCATTTTCATAACAACTACTGAGACAACAAGACTTCTGGTCAGAGGACAGGAGACCTGCACGCAAGTAAAAGACAACCCACTGAAGTAACGGTGGAACTCACACTACTGCTAACAGGGTCACATTCTGTAAGTTTTAGGATCCGTTGGTTCTTAACTTCCAGAAATAGCTGTAGTTCCTTAAGATTCAAGGTTCGTTTTAACTTTGGGGTGTTTTAAGTCAGCATCTGAGGTAAGAGTTCTTGATGCACCTTGTTTTTGGTATCGTTTCTTTGTGTGCTTTTTGATTGTGATAAAATAAATGTTGTGTTAGATGAAAACTAGGTTGATACTACAGTGGAAACAGCTTATTAAATGAAGTGCACCCCCCCTTAAAGAGATGCTGCTGAGGCTTTCTGCACTGCAGCAGTCACTTAGTTCCCCCTTCGCTCACAGGTAAAGCAGCTGCGGAAAGGACACTTTGCCCTGTGCAAGATGCTTTTACAGCCACTTTAAGCAGGCCCAAAGTGGAATACGCAGATCTGGCTGGGAAAAGGATTCCGCCCATGCTTTCAAGGACTCGGTGTACAGGAGCATTTGCATAGTACGTGGAGGGGAAACGGGTGCCACTTATTCATATAGAGGAGTAGTGACGGGAGGACGGCTGATCTCTACTTCAGCGACACTAGTGCATTTTCCTATGTTTAATTCCCCACAAAGACTGAAAAATCTACAGGTACTCCAGTTCGGAGTGCTTAGGACATTTGAAAGCATGAGGATTTTTCTTACCAGCTGTGACTGATAGTGCAGTTTCACACCAATTTGGAAAGGATTAAATAAGATACCCAGTTTCTGAACACAGATGTTTTATCCCTGCAGCGGAAGCAGGTTCCACTGCACATTTTTAAAGCAGTTCTATACCTGCCTTCAAAGTACTACAAGGCAACGTTTTACCTACGATGACAGTTAGCTACTGTTTTCACCCCAGAAGAAGAGAGTACCTGAAAACATCCTGTAGACATTGGCTAAACCACATCTGTCACTGAAAACACGGTGCATGAATGAAGAAACTAACTGTAAATACACTAGTCTAACTGTAAACCTGAACTTTGTTGCTACTATGCAAGAATAACGTTTTCTATTCATATTGCAGCTACAGATTTAATAAATAGAATTGCATATATTGTGCTTTATAAATTAAAATGCATTCCAAAGTGAGGCAATGCTAAACAATGAATCTATTTAACCCTCCCCCCCGACCAGCCACACATTCTGGTTTTAGAACCAGCCCCCTTCCTCACTCTGTTCACAAAGGTAGAAACGGTGCGTTTCTACCTCTTAAACAAAACTCCCTCCCCCAAAGGTGATCAAAGACAAGTCTACTTAGGCACTACTGCAAATGTAAGTTGTCTAATAACCATTACTGCTAACTTAATAAGGGGAGGAGGTGAAGAAAGTCACAATAAATGGTTTCATTCTTTCCTCTTCGGCGTATTCTCTTCCCTATCTGACGCTTTGAGACATGTGCAAAGGTGTCAGCATCTCTTCAAAGATAGCTCCTTTTACGTTAGATCCCCTCAAATTAGCTTCTTGTAGATCACAACCTGATAGATCACAATTCTGAAGGGTAAAAGAAAAAATAAATGTTAGTTGAATATACCCAGAACGTAATTCAAAACTTTACCAGAAACCACATATGCTTCCAAAAATTTCAGTGCAAACTTCCTGTCTTTTGCTCTAGTTT